AATATAGAGACTTTAAAAACGTTTTGCAATGGATTCTAAAATTAATGAACATATTGAGACACAAAAAACGTTGATATATATATAATACTTATAATTGAAAGTAGACTTGATGTAGATAGAGTAATATATTATCGCTTTATTACATCAGTAATATGTTTATTGTGCTAAATTAAAAAAAAGAGTTCTTATAACTTTTTAATAATCGACGTTTCTGTCTTTAAGTCATTTTAGGAATCTTCTCATCAATAAATAAAATTACAATGAAATTATCTTTTGAATTATCTCTTTTGTATATGCTTGTATTGTTGTCCTTATACTGAAACTGGTTTTATTTACTTATAGGACAATTTAACCCGTACTGGAGGCAGATTTCTGGGGGAAAAAAGCAATGAAACTGGCAAGATTTTTGTCTGTTTTCCTGTTGACTTTAAAACTCCAACGACTGACCAATGGAATCTTTTTCAAACTTGGAGGTTTGAATATGTATTTCAATATAATGTTAATTGAAAAATTCTTATATATTGATTTGAAAAATAGTTCCTTCAATTTTTCCATTTCATTATTATTTTCATATGTGAATCTTGTGTGTTGGCTAATCATTATTGTATTAAAAGTTTGGTTGTTAAATACATGTAGATACACAGTTTTGTTTAAATCTTAAACCCTACATTGGTACCTGCATATGGAGTTAATGTTTCCCAGTTTATTTGATACCCAAGAAAATGCTCTACCTGCAAACAAAAACAAGGCAAGCCATTGATAAATATGTTGATGATACAGGAACATCAACAGTCTCATGTTTAGTCTACATTTCGCAAATTCTATCGTCAATACAATGATCTTGTCAGCAAAAACAATCCATCATTAAGTTGAATGCTGACTGTTTTTATACTAATTGTTAGACCATTACTAATATTTTGAATTGTGCACGGATTTTTTCGTTTGCGTGATCATGACAGGGAGCACACAGCAGATGTGACCGGTCGATAGGGGATGCTTACTCCTCCATGGCACCTGATCCCACCTTTGATACTTTTAGAGGTTCGTGTTTGCTCTGCTCCCAATTTGTATTGTTTCAGTGGTCTTTTGAGCTCGATTACTATTTCTTATCTCCATATTTCATTTAATCATTTAATTAAACTGCTACTGATTCTATTAAGAACTCAGCAGTTGATATTAAAAGGATGATGGTGTTGACAAACTTATGTCATCTTTGGAGTCCAAGTCTTCTAACAAACTGTTGGTATTGCAATGAGCACTAATTGTGCTCCTTTATTAGATGACCTATTTACATGTGTATATATTCATAGCTATAGATAACAGAATTTATTCAAAGGCTTTTACACCATGAGAAGAACAAAACACTTGCTGTGGCCTTCAACTCGAAATTCAGATATATTGACCACGTATTATCAATTAACAATAGATACAACAATTCTTACACTGCACATTCATATCCATCGATATATCCCAGTGAACACGAAATAAAAGACACCACAGAGTCTGTCACAACTGAATCATTTTTGGACTATGGTCGATAAGGGCCAGATAACAACTACATTATTTTGACAACGGGATGACTTCAGATTTTTAATCGTCAACTTTCCTTCTTCTTGTAATATTTCTCTATCACCTGCATATTGTGTTAACGGCTTCCAACTTATTCAATACTCAAGAGAATGCCCTGAGTAGATATATCTTTAAACCCAGGAAGGCTAATGACAGAAATATAGATGTTACAGGGATTTCAACAACCTCGTCTAAAGTCGTTTGTTCGAGTCACGGCTGCGACTAACCCAAGTCGATAAAAAAATTGGTAGTAATTGTTCCTTCTCCAAGCGCTCGGAACTTTGAAGTGAATATTGCGGGTCATTCGGATGAGACCTTAAAAACCGAGACCCTATGTCACGGTTGGCTTAGGCACTATAAAGAACCATCACTGCTAAATGGCCCTGAGTGCCGAGTAAAGATCTAAATTTGAAGCCCTTCTCCGGTATATGGTGACGCCTCTATATGAGTGAAAAATTCTCGAACGGGACGTAAAACAACATACAATCAATCAATCAATCATTTAATGTCAGTAATTCGTACATTCTATTGTCCTTATAATGATTTTGTTAGCAAATATAACCTATCATTGGGTGGTATTTTGGCTGACGTGTTTAACATTAATTGTCAGGCCTTCGTTTTTATACTGAATTTGATCTGATCGATACAGGTCGATATGGGAATAACCCATCGACATTGGATACTTACTTCTCTTAAGCACTTAATCCCACCTATTGATATCTACGTTTTATGCCCTGTTAATTGATTTGTATTGTTTGCATTTTTTGAGATCGATCACTGTTCATCATCTTCATCTTTTTCATTTGATTGGTCATATTCTTCATTAAAAATATAAATGTATAAACCCTTCATTTATTTTCCTCACCCCGCAGTATAGAATTTTAAAAGTATTTCTGTTCTAAATATGCCTCTAAGAAAACATAACATTTCACTCTACATGTAGATCTATTTTTATACTAAGGGATGACATTTAATCTGAATCTGAGAAGGGAAAGGCAAAATACTTAGCAGTTTTTACTTAGCAAGGAATTGGTTTAAGAGCCCATTGGCAAGAAAACAAGCATATTTAGGGACAGAATGAAACATCTACAAATTTATAATACATAAAAAAGTAATTATATTGAATACAAACAACCATAAGAATAACCTTATAAGTTTAATAATTTGATTAATGAACATTTGTAGCAATAACTCCAAAAAATCCACTGGTATTAGTGAATGGTATTTTGGAGCTAAACTGCACTGTGTTTACTGATTCTGGATTGAATTCCTCTACGCTATTTTGGGAAAAAGATGGAACAAGAGTGATGGAGGACTCAATGATTTCTGTTGGGGAACGTACTTTGTTATTTAAGAAAAACATCACAAGTGTAAATGAAGAAGGGACGTACGCATGCAGGAGTATTAATGGGGACATTATTTCAGTTTCCTCATTAGTTGTTGAATGCAAGTCTAAATTTACTTTAATATTTTTTTTCCAACATTTCCACATAATTTAATATATTACTACAAATATTTCAATTTAGTAAGATAAGAAGTTATTTTTTCCAAAAATGCTCTTGTATTTAAATATTCTTTTGCATAATTTGATTAAACTTGAGCAGAAAAATGATATATATTCAATGTAAGCAGGTTATCACATCACTGAACAAAATAAACCCATGTCTGTTTTCAACAGATGAAGCAGTACGCCAGGTAATGAATTTGTCCTGTATTCTTCACAAGAGTCGAGATGAGTTCACATGTACCTGGAAACTAGGACTTTATCACCATCCTGCATTCCTCAAAATCAACGCAAGTGTGTAGGTTGATAAAATGTGGTTATACATGACTTAGAACACATTAATATTTCTTTATTTTGCATGCAAGACCTTTTTTACCTTCTTTTACATCCAAAAGAATTGAAAACCTAGCAATTCAAGAATTCTTTTCAAATATTCCCCAAAATATTTTTCACCGACATAATAAAAAACGAATTCCTGTAAACATTTGTGTATAACTATTTTTGTTACTGTACATCTCTATTTTTCTAGTAATCAAAAGAGGTCCTTTTTCTAAATAGCATATATATCTATAATGGTCATTTACTCAAATTAAAATATAGATCCATGGACAACGGGTTAAGTCTGCAATCTTGTCAACAAAATTTCAAAGAGAAATGCACTTGGACTTCGGATGATGGTGCCATAAACTCTGTCACTAAGATAGTTATTCTCAAAATTGAAAACCGAATGTATGGCGTCATCAAAACATTCAGGAAAGATTATTTTACACGTAAAATAAGCAAGTATCACCATTTTCTCAAAACGTAAATGAAATAAGCATTACTTGATCTCCTGCCACAGTGTAATTATGCAAAAACATTTTAACAGTTTGTTTCATTTGAAATTGTCCTTTGCAGCAAAGTATGAACCTACAGGATTGATTGACACCAAGAATCCTGACTATGGGAAATGTGAATGTGCATATATTTCTTGGAACGGGATTTCAGGTGGCGTTAATACATCTTCCAAAGTAGCCCTAAAGTCAGAATGGGAAACTCTTGACATTGTAAGGGACAAATCTATATACCGAAATGCCTTTGTATATTTCACTGAAACTACAGATTTGTAGTTATACAGGTGACTTTGGTGGAATAAATATACCATCTGCAAAAAGCTCGGTATATTATTGGTAAATTAAAAAAAAAAGAAAATGGGGGTATCAAAAATATTTATATGCAATTGTTTGCATATCCATCTAAATTTAAGGGGGGCATTTAAAAAATGAAAGTTTATCAAAAAGTTTAACCAAATTACCTTGAGCATTGCACTCTTTTTCTCGCTGCTAAAGGTTAATTCTCTCATTTACAGTCGATAAATGTGGATCTGAACACAAGTATTGTTGTGTGTGGCCTCGTGCCAGCTTCTACCTATAATGTTAAGATTCAGATAAAGCCATTTGAAGGACTGTACTACAGTGACATAAACCAAAAATCATTTATAACATGTTCTAGAGGTAAAATCTGATCCTTCGAATTTCAATTTTAATCTACTAAAAATACAACATTAATATTTGTTTATGTAATTAAAGGGTGTTTATATTTTCTTCATTAATAGAACCAACTAAGGTTCCTTCAGTTCATACCAGTGGGTATTCCTCCAGTATATGTTATAATTGGATACCTAGTCGCAGAGTCACTGTCTATTGGAAGGTAAGATAAAAGAACTATACAAATTATCAAGTTACATGTATATCTATTCATTCAGTCAAAATTCTTTTTGGTCGAAATAAGGACAACATATGATTGTTTTAGAAGATGAAAAATAGAGTTTATGTAATAGTATCAATCTCGTTGAAGACAATTAGAATTTTGTCATTAGAACATCACTTCGTCAAAATTAATGTTTTAAAAATGTATGATCCAGGGAATTCCAACAAAATACCAAAATGGTAATATGACAAGCTATACCATTTCATTTGAAAACATCATTGTTCATCTTGACGGGAAAAAGTTGTCGGGAGAAATTGAAATTCCATGTAAAGAGAGCAGTACTCTAAGTATAAGGGGTTGCAATAAAGTTGGCTGTTCACCCGAATCAAAAATACTTATACCACCTTATACAGGTAACCAAACGCATATACATATATATTGAAACACATTTATAACAAATAATGTCTAAATTATTTTATTGCACTATTTTTGAGATGCACAATTATCAGCAATGAATGTCCTCTTTTCCTCTTTTGTCTAGTTGAATTGAGGTACCCCAAGCTCTGACAAAATTTCTATACTTATTTATTCAACTTGGCATATTCTTTATTGAAGATGGCAAATAATATGCTGATTACATTGGCCTCGTTGTTTTTATTTATTACAAAAAAAACCCATACAAAAATAACATAAAGAGGTCAATATATATTTCAGTTAATTAACCTAAAGAAATGACTTTTCAATTTGAAGAAATTTAAGGTATGTCACTCGTCAGCCTTTTAGAAAATTTCAGTCAGAACCTCTTACTTAAAAACTATTTATTACATTTCAATCTTTATAACATATTTAAATTAAACAATGTAAAATGTTCAACATTCAATTAAAAAACTGCTCAAAAATTCATAAAGAAGCAAGATTTATCAGGGACTATTTCTTGTGGTGGAAGGATATTTAGCGGAAAATTCTGCAAATCTACACATCTATTAAATTTAATATCTTGGAACTTAAGCCTCACATACTTTTACTTAGAGAATATTTTCCGTTATGATATGCCTGGGATATTAAATATAGGTCTCAATTTATATTTTTATAACAAAATGTACACCTTCTCTCAACAAGTTTTGCCAAGAAATGAAGATATATTAAGGAAGTCGAGATAAAATTTACACAGTTTTTTGCCTGAAAATTGCATATTTTGACCAATATTTCAAAATTTACTTCACTGACCCCAACTTTTTCTTTCATTAATTTAAACTACTCGATACTTTTGACCGATCAGCACTTAAGTCGTAAAAAGTTTGATACAAGAAAATATTCTATTGCCTATTTGGATTTTTAATACCCCAAATATGAGACTTTTTTAGTGCAAAAAGGTCACACAATAATTTACGCGCATTAATTTGTATGATTTGTTCAATGATAAATATTATTCAAACTATTTTACGTAAAATAAGATTACGTTTATTGCCATGGTTACATGTGATAAAATATGATAACGGTTAAAGAGATTAACCAAAGAGTTACAATTTAAGTGCAAAAAGGTCGACTTAATTGTACCGTACCTCAGTTAGATGCACACTGACCCCCCAATTTCTCTGCGATTTTGAGTCATACTATATGAGTACTTATCCAAAATATACTTCTCAAAAAATCCTTGATATAACAAATTTCACGAGTGACATACCTTAAATAAAATGTCTTTGTATAAAGTTTTCAAAAAATATTTATCTTACAGAGGTAGTTCTGCCATCCAGATTGATTGTGGAACATCAAAATACTTCTAGTGTAGACTTAACTTGGTTTCACAGAGGAGGACAATTTGCCGTAGATATAGCCTGGTGTGTAGGAAAATCTGGCTTGTTCCAGTGTCAGGTAAACTATATTACAACGAGGATAGAATTCCGAAAGTAGATAAATTCATTCTTATTAATAAAGACTTAAGATAAAATAACTGAAGTCTCTTAGTTAAGATAAATTCATTCTTATTAATAAAGACTTAAGATAAAATAACTGAAGTCTCTTAGTTATTCTGTACTTAAGGATGAAATCAAGTTTCTGAGATTGAATGGAACGGATAACCACACTTCTATATCGACCAATGATATCAATAGTAGAAATGATGATGTAATCTTTGGTGTGGCTATCATAAATGACAAACAATTAAGTGGTGGTATAAAGTGGCAGGATGCTTGCAGATACCAAAAGAATTTAGGTACAATTATTCTTTTTCTTCATTTGATTGATTTATCTATAATTTCACATTATTATTTCTATATTCTCTATATAAAGAAAAATACGGAAGCCGGTAGGTGCCAGGAAGAAAAATATTTTATCTGGCGGCCGCCAAATAATTTTCTGGCGGCCGCCACATAATTTCTGGCGGCCGCCAGAAAATTATTTGGCGGCCGCCAGATAAAATATTTTTTCTACCTGGCACTAACCAGCTTCCGTAGAAAAGTCAACATAATTGATATTAACTCCTACGAAAAATATAAACGGTCATTAAATTTTTACTTTTGACCGGCAAAGAGAGCTTTCCCAAAATATTATTGATTTTGATTATGATTAGTAGTATAAAAATTTTTTAGGGTAAATTTGTGAAATTGTTATCCCTCGAAAACCTTGCTGACCTCGGCTTTGCCTTAGTCAGGAATGGTTTTCGCGGGATAATAATTTCACATGTTACCTTAAATAAACGTAATATTTTATTTGTTATACTGAATGCAATTAGAATGTATTTTAAAGAAAAAAACACAGTGAACCCTACGCGAAGACATTCTGCAGAGTTAACAATTTTTATACTGTTACCCGTCGTCATGCAATGTCAGCGTTGCTATGTAATGTTACCCGGAGGGCGTGGTTTACAGTACTTTTTAACAAATGTTTTAAACCAATAAAATTTGACTATTTTACATAATACTATAACAAATTGATTTATTGCCACGTAATAGTACCGTTGCGACTTCCAAAAAACAAAACGACACAAAAAAGTAACACAGTCTTTGCAATTTGCAGATTCGTTGGCACTACAATCAACATGAAGATAATTCATTGGATACCAATAGGTTGCTGGATTTCAATGAATTAAATCAAAATACTATTTATTGATGTGTTTTGTTTGTCATATAACAAAACGATTATCGACTGTGTTTTCGGGCAACATTAACTATTAACTAACAAAATTATTTGCAATATTTCATCCCTCTGGGGCAAACATAATCAATGTTGCCCCAAAACACAGTCAATATTTGTATAATACAGTAATTAATCTGAAAAAATAAGAAACACTTTTTTTTTTTTTAGAAATTCAAAACTTTTTTATAATCAAAACCAATTTAAAGACATTGTTTGTTGATTATCATATTTTCACAATCTCTTTGTTTAAACATAATAAAGGAGTTACTTGCATACAAATTTTACTTTTAATATTCAATTTATTTTGTATCTTTTATTTAGAAAGTTTTATTTTTTCAAATGTTCTCATACACCAAAGATATATTTTTCAAACTATATACAACTAAATACGTTGGTGTTTATTTTTCATAAAAAATTGAATTATTTATCAAAGAAAATGAAATAATGCAAAATTTTTGGTTAAACATAAGAATTTTACTAAATCAATGGAAAACGGAAAATACACCCCCTTTGACCTCGTGAAAAACTTCTAGAGCTATGTCGTACTGGTATTTTGCAAAGTTGAAACATGAAACAAAGCTTTCGTTGTTTTGTTGTTGTGGAATGGAATATATATTCAAAGACCAAAACACACCAAAAATATTTATACCCAATTTCAAATAATATTCAATTTGAAAATTTTACTAAATGAGCAATGTATAGTTACATTTCAAAAGCTATATCCTACGAAAAGATTAAGTTGTCATCCATGAGAATTTTAAAATCCGGTCAGGTTCAGTGCTGATTTCAATGGACAAAATTTTATACCCAATAAGAGTTGTAATTAAGAGCAACCATATGATCCTGGTACTTTATATATAAATCAACTGTAAATTAAGCCTGCTTTGAAACCAAAAACTTCAATTGTTAGTTTGTTCTTCATCTTCATCTATTTCATTGCGAAACGCGTTGAATAATGTGTGTGTAGAACGTAAAATGTAGGCGTAAATACGTTTGCAATTCTTTATCTGATATCAAATTCCCCAGAGAGTGCTTATATAACAAAATACAGACAAGGTACAGAATGACTCACCCTTAATTTTGAATTTCGGAATTCACAATTAAATTTCACAGAACCAAAGAAGATATCCGGCGTCGTTCTTCTCCCAGACGCTCCAGAAAACAGCCTTATTGTATCATGGTCTCCCGTGCTCTGTGAAAGCTCAAAAGTAAACAACGTTTACATTCACGCCTATGAAATAATTTCTTGCCGATTGGATTCTCAGAATCATTGCATTGGTAAGTAAAAAAATCTTAAAAGATTTACCAGAAACACTGTCAGTACTACGTAAAAAAAATTGTTGGTTAAGCAATAAAGTCTATTTTACAACAAAGTCACCTGTCTGCTCAAAATACTGAACTCGAACAGGTTTTCTCCTCAGTCGTATAAATTTATGTATCATTAGACATCAAATTTCAGCAATTCCTTTTAATTTTTTCATATATATTTATGTATTTTTCAAAACTTTAAATATACATATATTAAACAATTCAGGGAAAGAAAATTCGGAAGAACTTTTAGCGACACACAACACTCAACATACTCTTCAGAATCTTCATCCCGACGTTAAGCATGGTGTTTGGGTGAGGGCGAAATCATTAACAAAGGTCGGGACTAAAAGCGATATGGTGTCCGGAATACCCAGCAACAATGGTACGAATGAGAATCGCTAAATGTTACATGAATATACTGATGAAAACTACAGACATTTTATGATCTATGTTTCAGCGTACTTAAAAAAATATTTCTCTAATGCCTAAATTTTAAAGATTTTACTTGAAATGCATTTAAGAACAACATTGATTTAAAAGCGATTTCAATATTTTCAAAATTCCTAATGCCAAATGGCGGAGATTACATTTACCTCATGTAAATGTTTGCATAGTATGGCTGCTTAATCGAGTGAAGGGTTGGAAATTTGTCTATTATTTACACTTTGAATTAATTTTATATAATATTAACACAATAGTGGTTCAAATAGTTCTTAAGTTTATCTTTATTTGGATATTCATCTCTAAAAAGAAAAGATATTTCTACAAAACACTTAATGCAAACCTTGTTTTTTAGACTTAGGGACCGGTGCTGTAGTAGGCATAATCATTGCTGGAATTTTTGTTTTGGTTATTATGTTGGCTGGTGGAGTTTGTATACTGAGGTATTATTTAGTACTTTTAAAGCTTAAAACTCTATAAACATTTATTAGGATCTCGAATAAAATTGTGGGAGCCCTATAGGAATCACATTTTCCGCCTGTCCGTCCATCTGCCCACTAACACCTTGCTGTGACGCGATCTCTCAAAGAGTTATCAACAAAACATTTTCAAAATTGGTACATCAATACTCTTCTCTAAGAGCAAAGCACCTAAAGATTTTGGGTCACATCACTTTGTCTGTCTGCACATATGTTTTAATGTATATCTTTGATACTTTCTTTTAACATGATAACTCAGACAGTTCTCTTTTTTTCATTAAAGGCCATTAAAGGTCATATCACTTTGAATGTCTGTCTGTATGTATGCCTGAATGTATAACTACTTTGTTGTTACATTCGTTTAACAGTTCTTTGCGTGGCCCTCTCTGACTGTGTCAGTTTTCTAGTTGAGTTTGAATCTCTTACACAAACTACAAAGTAAAATTTTTTTTTAGAGTTATACAGCAACATAATGACATATAAAATGCAGTTTATCTTAAATTATGTAAAAACCAAAGCATTAATGAAACGTTTTAAATTTCTATTTGAGATTCTTGGTTCAATGCTGAAAAGAATATTCAATGTTTTGTTGGTTGCATGCCAATTTATATGAAAATTGGGACCCCTTAAAATTGGTTTGCAAGAGATCGTTTCTCTGGATTTCGAAAAAGAATAGGCTCACTGGGGGCTGCAAGAGAATACCAAAAAAAAAAAAAAAAAGATCGTTAAAAAACGTATAAAGATAATTTTTCACCAAAATATGGCTGAGGCATTGCCGACTCGGCGTTAAGCAATAATCAATCAAATTCAAGAGTGGGACAGTATTTTACACGAGTGCAAGGGAGTACGAAAGATACTTTAACAAAAAAAAGTTTTGTATGAGTTAAATAAATTCCATGTCCATCTAAAAACATTGAATTTTCTGGTACATGAAATTTACTTCGAAATTTGTTCTGCCATTTGGTACAGTGTAACTGACATAAAAATGTGCTGGCTGTTTTTGTTATTTTATAAAAATATCAAATTTATTCCACAGAAAAAAGTTAGAGGATTGCACTATTAAAGTATATACAATATTTAATATTTTATATGTTATCAATTAAAAGGAAATATATTTCTGTTTTAGAAATGTAAGAAGTAAACTTGGTTTAGGCGAAACTTTCCCAATTCACGTGCCTGATTTAGAATCTGAGGTAAGTTCTGACCAACATAATGCCTCGCATGCCTTATTTTAGAAGTGGGTTTCTTTTTATCTTTCTTTTTGATCATTTTTAGAAATCATGGGAGAAATTCCTCACTACACCAGCTTCCTACACTGATACCAAATCTGCTAACTGCATTTCCGTGAGTAAATATGAAAATGGTAAAGATAACGAAAGTGATCGATCAAAAAAAAAATTAAGAAACAATACAAATACATGTGAAGTCTGGAATTCTATAGGTGGGATCAGGTGCCTAGGAGGAATAAGCACCCCCTGTTCACCTGTCACACCCGCCTTGATTGTATTTATCAAGTAGACGGAAAATTTTGCTGTCAAATTCAAAATAAAACAAAGGCCTAACAATTGGTATGAAACACTTCAGCCAAAATACGACCCAGGGATAGGTTATATTTAAATTGCTGACAAGTCAATATAACGACAATTCAATTTTCGAAACGCTGACTTTAAACGAGGTAGTTAAAATCTCTGTAATATCAACTTATCTGTAAGTAGCCTGCCTCAGTTTAAAAATTGATCGTATTCGGAACATGCTCCTGAGTATCGAATAAATTGGGAAATGTAATCACCATATGCAGGCGATAGAGGATATTACTACATAAATAAGGAGAGTTGACGAAGGAAAAGTGAAGCCATCTCGTTTGTCATACAATTTAGCATATTAGTCGTCCCATATCGTCTATAGTCAGTAAAAATCCAAATATGAAACAGATTTGGCAGACTCTGGTGCCTTTTATTTCAAGTTCACTAGGGTATATCGCGTGGACATATGAATGGAAGCGACTATTGTTAATTGATAATACGTCGTCGATATACACTTATCTAAACGTCTATTGAAGGCCACAGCAAGTGTTTTCTTCTACTCATTTAGAAGTTATTGAAAAAATTCTGCTTCATAGGAATATAAAAACAGGTTGGCTAATAGAGAAGCACATTTAGTGCCCATCGAAATCTCAACAATTTGTTGAATGACCTGGTCTCTGAAGACTACATGAATGTTGTCAATGAGGATCTCCAGCAATATACAATTCGCTGAAAAACAGATTACTTGATATCAGGCTCATGCTTTACATATGTACGTGTATCTTATTGCAATGCTTTCATAATATTACAAAAATATAAAATAAACCAGGAAAAATAATACAGAAGTATATCGATAAGTACTCAAAACGATTGAAAATAATGGGTTCAGTAAAAATTGCTGCGATAAACATGCATTGCGCAAACTAAATAGGGGTTACTTTGTTGTTCAGGGTAGAGTTCTGAGTATTTTTTTGTATTTGAGTACTAAGAAGAGAAACGCATGATTTAACTTCTGTTTAAAATTTCAATTATATAGTTTCAAACAATAGAAAACAACTGGGTATGAATAAACCTTGAGCATATTTAAGTCTGTCGAGTCTGTATATATTTCAATGAAACATTTATGGTTTTATGGTAAATATTTCTTTGGGGTTTTGTTATTTATTAGTGTTACGGTTTGAAATTGAACAAAAGGGGATATATTTATTTTTTATTTATAAGTGTAACATGAATACAATTTGAAATTGGACATAAGGGGATAGCGTAACTTATACCATTTTCAATAGTGAAGGGCTTTAAATTATGGGTTAAAGAAAATCGATATTTTTACACTGTAAAAAGCGTTATTTCCATAGTTTGAAAATGACCGAAACAAATGAAGGACATATTCAAAAACCAAACATGATTGAGAAAGTCAAAGAATGTGAAACTGAAAACTCAGTGTTTTGTAGTTGGATGTGAAATTCACATCACTCCTTAGACATGATGTCAACAGTGCTTTGCACTCGTGAAAATATATTTAAAAAAGTCTTCTCTCACTCCTGAAATAAATTCCATATCCAACTACAAAACATTGAATATTTTGTATTCTCAATGGAAAAGTGTACGTGTATACTCCATAAGCTTTCTCCCGCCAATCATTTCAGATACCTTCTCTCTGTACTCAGTCAAGTTGGAATGTTTAATTTATTAAACGTCCCTATAGCTACACTTCCAAATCATCATATGTTGAAAATCTTCTAAAGACATCTTAATTCTTGAGATATTTAACATATCTAAAATTCATAATATAACCTAAAAAAAAATATGGGGATTTAAACTTGGGTTAAATACTCTTACGTAAAGGTATCTTAATTTGAAGAATTAAAAGCTTTATTTTAAAGGATTTTTACCATGATGAGATTGTATAAAAATACTCGATTTTATATTATTTTCTTGAAAAAATGAGTAATGACACATAAAAAGGTTCCAAATTGAATGTATCCCTTAATTTCATAAATTTTTGATAGTTTTTTTTTTATTTTGATGTTGAGTTTGATTAACACAATTATGAAGAATTACTAGTATTGATGTAAATATTATCAGTGTGTTTTGATTGTCTTTTTTTGTAAATCTATACATAATATAAAATTTTTAAAAACATTCTAAATTTAGAATCAAACAAAATATGCAAAAGGATCCGTTGTATCTTCCAATTCACCGTATACAGAAAGTGACCAGTGTACCTCCCAGGAAAGATTACTAAAGTGTCTCACCAAAAACCTACCTGATCAATGTCCTCAGGCTAATAATACCGTTTTGCCGCTGATTGATTTTCCCAGTACGAAAGACATAGACAAGGAAAATGACAATGACATAGACCAAGAAAATGACAATGCAAAAATACCTGAAATGCTCAAAAGCAGTGATCCAACATCGTCAATGAGTAAAATATACGAAAAAGAAAACAAAGGAAAAATGTCGAGAGAATTTCTGCCCTCTGGTTATGCAAAGGTTTTGTCTCCTTGTCTCCACGGTAAGATAATAAAAAAAGTTGTTAATGTTTTTGTCAATAATTAAAAATAAAAAAAGTAAGATAATCTCCTTTCAAATGTGAGATTTGAATTGACAAGATGCATGCTCACACAGAAAAGGTTAATTAATTCGATCAGAAAATCGTAAATGAAATGGAACTTGATTTGAATTTCAACAGAGATTAATAGGTCACCGATTGATATTGGAATCTCCACGAGGGACTCACCGTCATACTCAAATGAAATCATTCAGGAGACAGTGTCGTCAGATGAGAATAATATAAAACAAAATGAGGCCCATCCTAACATATGCTCGAAAGGTACAAGTAATGAAATGATTATGATGAATTATGTATATCTATTACTTAAATGCATTGTACACGGATGACTGGATAATGTTTGTTTTCTTCTTGCAGAAGATATAAATAACATATCAGTTAACCCACAACGATCTACCGATGAAGAATCTTTGAATGATCAAACAATTAATGATGAATGTTATGTAACTAATGATGCTAGTCATTGGGCCAATGAAAGCAAACTCTCTGTTAAGAATAGAAATAATGTCGAGCACCAAAGAAGGAGTTATCTCCCTTCCGACATAACGCAGTCCATGACATCTGCAGGGGGAAAAGGCATATCTTCCAGTCTCACAAACAATATGACAGATGTCAATACAAATATAATTGATGACTCATATCAGAAGACATCAACACCAGCTTTAAACTCAGATGATTACATTAAAAATGATTTTTTAGCCAATGATGGTGTACCTAACGCATCTAAAATCAATAACATTTCAATTATAAACACTTCTATCAATTCCTCTGAATTAAGCGATCATTTATCGAGTAATTTTTGTCAAAACGCGGAAATGTGCACTGAATATGTTTTTAATGACACTGAGACAGACGTTGAGCCAAGCGTGAAATTCATACTAAATGCAAAGCAATCGCCTTACCGCCTTCCAAATGATGCATTTAACCAGAATACCAGTGAGAAAAACCTCGAGTTTATCGGATATGTACCATATTCTGGAGTCATAGAGCGGAATTTCTAGTTTGGAAAATGTACACTACAGGCTGTAAAAAGAGGTTTTATTTCTTGCCTTTACATTTATTTGTTGTTGCTTATTTTCAATTTGTTTACAAAAAAGATATATAATAACTCTTTTGATAGCTTGCTCGGTGTTGTACAAACCTTGACTTAAGTAACCAAGTACCGTTGCAAGGAAGTCTGTAAAAAAACGCTGATATAGAACTTTTTATTTCATTTAAAATTACATTTGATAAAGGTGTCCCTGGTACATGTATGTAGAATATATTATATGGTTTATTGTTATGTTTTCTATCATCTGTTGCCATTCAGAAGTCACACTTATAGATAGGTGGAATTTTTTATGTATATTTTCCTCAATAATGAAACACTGTTAAAAATGTATTCTTTATTTCGTGAAACTTACAATATAATAAAACAACTGTTTTAACTAAATTGAACAGCTTTGTACAGCATATTAGCGGTTTTAGATTTAATAATTTACTTTGTTGTAGTCAAATGTGTGTTTACTACACTGGAGAACTTGCTGTATAGAAAATACCATATGTATCTCATTAAACGGGCGTTGTCCGAGAAAAACACGAACTTTTTGAATATTTCAGAAAAACATTGACTAATGTTAATAATATTTTGCACTTTATTGGGAAATGATCATTTTATTTATCATTTAATTTATTATTTTGACAAATTTTTATAAGGTTGTAATGTCATATATTTGAAAAAAGAAAAAAAAACAGCATTGAAAGGTTGTTAAACATTCGGCAATTTTACGAATTTTCAAACAAGAATCGTCAATGAATTTGTCTTAATAACCAGGATATACGAAAATATAATGTGACAAAGTTTACCTCCATTAAAAGTCTAGAGTACTCGTTTTAAAAAAAAAATATTAATTTGCCATCACTAATGACAAAATATGACGTTATATACCAAAACACTTTTAATTAGATATTTTCAAAAAAGAAAGAGACGTTGAGCGATAATGCGGAGCACCAAATTATGAAGCAGTACTGCTTTGAGCAGGATATGACTCCTATTCATATGGTAAAAAAATATGTCAACAATGGAAAAACGCAAACATGAAATATGGAGATAACGAACAGTATTCAAGCTCAAAATCCATTAAAAACAATACAAATTTGGAGCAGAGCAAACATGGAGCTCCAAAAACATCAGAGGTGGGATCAGGTGCCATGGAGAAGTGAGCATCCCCTACCCCTATCACATCCGCAGTGTGCTCCTTGTCATAATCGGTAAATAACGGAAAAATCCGTCGACAATTCATAGTGTAAATTATGGTCTAACAATTAGTATGAAAATTAGTATGAAAAACGTCAGTCAGCATAGGACTTAATGATGGAATTTTCACAGTTATTTAAAGTATATAGTGAAGCAAATCAAAAATGACTTTAGACCCCCCCCCCTTCCCCCCCTCGAAAACGTGGACCCCACCACTACCATCACGAAATAGGTTTTTCACGTTTGGGAAAGGGATTTTACCTTCTTCAAATCAACTGAGAGATATACACCCCATATGCCGGTGATAAGGGTTTATTGCTGCAGAAGAAAGGGAAGCTGACGATTGAAATGTTAAAGTCATCACAATTATTATAAAGTTTTGTTGTTAGATTACAATTGGCGTCTTTTTCTAATAAAATATCGAAATATGAAACAGATGTGTCAGACTCTGTAGTGTGTTTTATTTCAAGATCACTGGGATATGTCTTGTCGACATATGAATGGAAATAACTATTGTTAATTGATAATACGTCGTCGATATTTCTAAAAGTTGATGAGTTGAAGGCCACAGGAAAAGGTTTCTTTTTCTCGTGTATTAGACTTTGAATGACTTCTACTTCATATGAATACAAAAATAGGTCTGCTAAACATATGTCTCGGACACAGATTGAAACCTAACTAAAGATGTTTGATGGGGGCTTGACCGGTTATACTATAGAAAAGCCGTTTAATAGACAAACAAAAATGAAGACAAACTGAAATGAGCTGGAAGCCATACGTGACGACCACCATTTAACTATTTAAGTTGATTTCATAAGGATATCAACAGTCTCGATTAAAGTCAACATTTTGCAAATTCTATGGTAAATACAATGATATAATCTATCGTTGAGAAATGTTGACTAACGTTTATCATACAAATTGTGGTCGTCCGCGTGGCGCAGTGGTTAGAGCGTCTGCTCTAGAGTCGCGAAGTAAGGAGTTGATCCTTACGTCGCGGGTTCGAATCCCACTGTGGGACGTGGAGACCGTTCCTTCGGATGAGACCGTATAATCCAAGGCCCCGTGTCGCAGTAGGTGCTGGCACGAAAAAGACACCTCACTGTTCAATGGCCGTAAGTGCCGAGTATAGGACAAAATTTGCAGCTCTCCACCGGCAAGTGGTGGCGTCTCCATATGAGTGAAAAATTCTCGAGAGGGACGTTAAACAACATACAATCAATCAATCAATCATACAAATTGTTAGGCCATTATTTTCACACTGAATTGTCTACGAAATTTTTCCGTTCTCTCGATCATGACAAGGAGCACACGACAGGTGTGACAGGTCGTCAGGGAATGCTTACTCCTTCATGACATCTGATCCCACCACTAATGCTTTTAGAGGTCCCTGTTTTCTCTGCTCTTTGTATTGTTCCAAAGGAAATTAGATCTTTATTACTGTTCGTTATCGTATATATTTAATTGTAATACTGATTATATTTTCTTCAAAAACTCCCGATATACTGAAATCTTAAGAGATCTAAGTCTGTTGTAAACTTATGCATTTAGCGCCTGTCTTTGGATTATGAAATAAAATAAACTGAAGTCTATATTGTATAGCTCAATTTATAATCATTTAAACATTTTATTTGGTCAATGTTGATAACTTTATCATTTTATTTAGCGCATCTGGTGCACCAAAATTGGTACCGTATATGATTTACATTAGATCCATTTCTACTCATATTTTGTAAAGAAACGTACTTTTTGTTCGTCAAAACTTTGTTTATATTTTTTTTCCCTTGGATAAAAGACTTGTGTTGAAAATGAAATCGAAAGATTTTTTTTATCACTTTAAAAGAATGATCTTCTCATTGTCCAAACAACATTTTAGTTATCTTTTTAAAAAGCCCTAGCGTGCATGAAACGGTTGAATTCCGTTTTTTTTTTAACGATCGCTAATTGTCAGGACATAGCTAAGAAGCACTAAGTAATCTAGTCTTTTATTACTTTCTCATAAGTAGATACAGATTTTAAGCTAGTTGATCGTCCGTTCCATTAATTGAGAATGACAACCGACCGACTACGAACGTTTGTATTTGCTTTCTTGCAATGACCTTTAAAAAATATGATATGAAAAAAAATAATCTTGACGGCTAATATTTTTTACTTAATAAATTATCCACTGATATTTTGGTTTTCATAGATCCTTGAATTAAAATCATCGAATGGGATATTTGGATAGTTAATTAGAAAAAGACGTTAATGGTAACCTAAAAACTTTACGATAAGCGTGATGACTTCAACTTTTCTATCAACTTCACTTACTCACGGTGGGTGTGACTGGTCGACAGGGGATGCTTATTCCTGCACGGTACCTGATCCCACCTCTTATATTTTTAGGGTTCCGTGTTAGCTTTGTTCAGGATTTGTATTGTTTCAATGTATTTTTGAGCTTGATTACTGTTCGTTATCTCTGTATTTCATTTTTTATGTATCCGGTCCTTTTTTTGAAAATATAAAAAATACCTTCATTCATGAACTGAACAAAGAAAAAGTCCCCCCCCCCCACCCCCAAAAAAAAACTTACAAAAATCAATTTTAAAAGGGTATTTTCCTCTTTGTATGACCAAAATAAAGTATAAGAGATCTTATTCTTTCATAATACATAAAATTATATTGTCTTCGCCAAAATGTAACCTTACAGTACATGGCGTTTATCAAAATTCAAGAAGCTAGTTTCAGCATGTTTATTTTATTGAAAAAAGTAGATAAAACAATAAAAGATAATCACTATTTCTTATTTCATACTTATATCTATGTTAAATGAGGTAACAAAATTTATGCTCTTCATAGAGTGTAAATTTAAGCTTTCATATAGGTATTAACTATGTAATATCAACTGAACATTTGATACGGAAAACAAATTGTGCCAATAATTTTTACACTTCGCTTATTCACTATGAAGTCCTTGTGACGTAAGATGTTCAAAATATTATAAATAATCAGGACATCTTAAACAAGCTTTTTAGGGCATATGAGTCCACTTCCTGTGGTGAACACAACAGGATTTATGTGATGTATCGTATGAATTCAAAACCTGTTGATTAGGGAGTAGGCATGTTTGCATCTGGATCATGTCGAAATATCCGTCTCATATGAGTGAAAAAATTTCGAAAGGGAAGTAATACAACAATTAATCAATCGAAATACCGAATACATACCAAGTTCTCTGGTGTCGACCAAATTTAAGGTAAAAATAAGCCTACTTTGTAAAAGGATCATTTTGAGAGAACTGAGAAAGCACATACATCTTTTTACTACAATTCTTTTTTACTGAATTTTTTCTATATAATCACAATATTGGGAAAAAGATTAACTGTGTGTAGGTTTGAAAGGTTTGAAAACATGACATCCTTATGTTTATAATAAATGTATTTCTTGACTTTTATACTTTTCTGTGGAAAAAAAGAAACATATTTTATCATTAACATATCTTATCAAATACAACTTTGGAAGCCTTTTTTAATGACTATATTAGATTTTAATGTTGTAACATTGTTACTCCTTTATTTATTTATATATCAGCAAGATTCAAAAGTATACCGAAAAAAATGTGAAATTTAGGTCAAAACAATATTTTTAAAATAATTAGATTTAGCAATTGATATTAGAACGATGGAAGTGGTGAATGAAGACATTAAAACAGATCACACTTTGTTACTCCTTGGCATCTTTAACTAGAATGTTGCAACAATATTATCAGTAGTTGAAACATGATTC